CGTCATCATCATTTTGCGAAAAAAGAAGCTTGTATGCGACTGTCTTAGCAAGTGTCTTTGCTTTCGCTTTGAAAACCACTCCGTACCCTCCACCGCCGATGCACATCGAGTCAATAAAGTCCGTGAAAAAATAAAGCCGAATGTTACCGTCTTCAATATTCTTTTTTAACCATTCTTTAGAGACAATTGAGGCCATGTTTGTTGCCGCTGTTGTAAGAATTCTAAAGTTTTTATCATCATGCTTATTGCAGCCAATGGCACATGATTTGTGGTTGATCTTACAATATTTGTGTTTCGTATTATATGTCGTACTTTTCCCCTCAAAAATAAAATGACCATAACTATACTTATTTTAAAGTGGATTAAGATCGCTCTCAACAGCAAGCAAATTAGGCAAGCGTATATGCGAAAAAGGAAATTGTTGAAAGTATTGGAGATGTGGCTTCTCGGGGGAGATACCAAATTTGGCTGATATCATTAATGATACCAACTTAAGGCATTCTCATATTTTAAATCACATGATATTGAATACATCAATTTTCAAAAAGCGAAAAAATGGTCAAAACTAACTTTTGAGAGGTCTTTCCCCACTTTTCATTTTGGTAAGGGAAATGAACTGTTGAGAGAGACCGCTCCATTCTCAATCTATTACAGAACATACTATTACAGTGAACAGTTTTTTCGCTTCTATGGGCACACCGTGATTTTTCATGCGATTGTATTCTATAAGTGCACGATTCAATAAACAACCAATCGAATTTATGGATTTAGGTACTACAGTTAATTCGGACACCAATTTTCCGAGGTACGACGAATTATCGATTTTTTGTGTAACAAAAAAATTTATTACGAATATGGTAATCTATTATGACTTGACTAATTAGTCGGAATGTTAATCGTCACCCTATTGTTCAAGAAAGACTTCTTAATGCATATTCGTCTTCTTTTAACAAAATTTTATTTTATTTTTTTCTTTTCGAGTTCGTTAATGATATTGTCATCATTTAACGTTACGACAGAATTCTCCGTACCGACAACAACAAAATTTTACATTTGATATAGTGTTAGCGTAGGTGTAACAACAAATGCGTTACTTGTCGGGAGACGGATGCCGGTTTTACGCCAACAATATTAAATTGTTTCCATAGCGACAGTATTCATGCGTTAGAAACATTGCAGATAGCGTGCTTTATATTATATTTACCAATCTCATTCTGCGAATTATTACCATAATATTGTCAAATAATTGTGACTGATGCTGGACAAATAGTAATTCTAGTATCAGCAGGTTACCATATCGGTTATATTAGTTGGCTCGTTTTCAGAAATAATTTTATGCAATGTTGCATTATCTAAGAGAAGAATAATATGTCGGTTCAGCCATTTATTTATTGATTAAATTATCTTAACTAGTTTTAAATATTGATACCCATTTTGAAATTAAATTTTATGCATGTATTATTAGTAAACTTGTATTTTATATGCACCTTAATGTTCCGATAATATTGTAATAAAGTAAGGCTTTATTGGCATGAGGAAGAGAAATAGCGTTTACAACAAGATAACATCTAATAGCTATGTCGTATTACACAGTTGCAATAGCGAATAAAGCTCATGTATACATGCATGTAACCTTAAATATCATGTATTTTGTTGTGTTAAGATCTAATACTGTATTTACTAATAGATACTGTATAATGTGGTGATTGAGCAAATGTCTACACTGATGTGAAAACCACGAATAATGACAATTAATTTTGTTATAAGTTTACTTCTCTTCGCTTATCCTATCAGCCGAAATATTATTTCTTTACCATATTTGTTTTTACAATTATCAACAAGACATATAATTGTTTACATGACAAATAAAAGTACTGCGTCGATTTAAATACGAGTAGGTCCGTCTGCTACGTCTCAACAGTATAACTATATAATTACCAGAAAGGTGATTGACAGTTAGGGCAGCGTTTACGAGTTTTGAGGAATTCAACAGCGGATATCGCAAAGGACTTGTTAGATGCCACAACATTCCACAAAGCTAACAACCAGGAAGCTTGGGAAGTTTGTTTATCTGGTTGAAGAAATTTACTAAAAGTGTCTGCAGCAAACTACTTTATAGCCACGATACTAACTGCAGTTGTCAAAGACCTTTGTCGAGAAAAAAAACTGTGTGGATAAATGATGCTGCCAGTTCACAGTTTGGTGAATAGTTATAAAACGCTATTTGCGAGAGCAATGTGTAACAAATATTCTCACTTGACAATTTTTTATTCAAACCGATGTCGTTAATTCTAGGAGTCAAGGATATGCGTAATCCAGCAATTGGCATTTTGGTTGGTTCAATCCTCCTTAGGAAGTAAACTTAAACTTAGATGGATTCCCTGCTCGCAAATTACCGACACATGATAAGGGCAACTCAAATTGGCACCATCTATTATGCTATCCGCAACGATGATACAGCTGATCGAACGCCAATAGACTGGTATCACTTGGAAGTAATGAAGAGTGTATACCAACACTTGTGAGTAAGTTTGCAAGAATATACTCACTTCCAACACACAAGTACAATAATGATGTTGGCCAATTTATTTACTTTCGCAACAGGCTCATAATTGGATTTACCGAGTATGACTATAGTTACTACATATAAACTTTCATCATTGTTATTCTCTCTATGGATCTGCTCTGCGTGTGAAATACTCCAATGTAGTCCTGCATGGTGCATCTGTGGACATAAACAATTATCCAATGGATAGACTAACAACAATAAGCAGCTCGATGAGCTTATTAATAAATCTCAATTACAAACAAACTCAGCTAATGAGTACTATTTGGAATGGATTCCATTTGATTATATTAAATATTGGAGATATGGTGCATGCTTATATGGTTTACCTTTTACTGGTTATTATGACTCCGCTTGAAATAACAGATGAGACGGATGATTTATATTACGACAAGGTGACTATCAACTACGAATATGTTAATTGTCTAAATAAATATATTAATATACTTATTATTATGCATAATTTCCACTAGTTATGTAATAAGTATCCAAATATTCTTACCATAAATGTCATCGGATTTACATACGATGCAAGTGAACAGAAGTATTATTTAATAAAAAAATGTTATAAGTGTGAATTATGTCTGCCGTGTACACGTCCATTAGAACCTAAGATAAATGCATTCTGTCATTGGTGTGAGGCACCAAGATCTCTTGATTGGACTACGGTAAACAAATCTTTGGATTCATTCATTAAGGAGTCGTGTATATGATGCCTATATACAATGGATAGAGTATTCTCTATTAACAGACGTACAGATGACCTCATTACGGCATGAATGCACACATATAGCGAAATTGTTAGAACCGACGGCAGATAACTGGACAAAAGTGGCACTCAAGCAGGTAGGTGACGGCTCAATCGCTTGATTTTTATCAGGTAAATTATTCCACGTGTAAAATAATGTTAGTATCAAGTATGCATTGCATTGATTGTTATAGTTTATTCAAATAGTTAACTCAGGAGTACCCAAAGATAGAGAATGTTTGGATAATTAGAATTACTCAAGAGCTATCTACTCGTGAATGATATTTAGTTTTCTACTACGCATGCAATATTGGACAAAATTATACATGTTACAAATATGTTAATAACATACGATACATGCAGTATGGCAACTTTTATAAACTTAAAGAGATTGGATTTGGTGGTTATGAAACAGTCTATACTGCCAAATTAAATGCAACTCAGAAGAAAAGAATATGCCAAAAACTGTTGTACTCAAACGATTTAAGAATTTTGATCGGATGCCGGAATTATTTATTTCCGAGGTAAGTTATTTTTGATATAATTAACTTAACTAACACAACATTTAATCTGACTCTGTGCTATGTTCAGAAATCATACCAAGTGCATAAGTAGTGATTATTCTTCATTCCTTAGAATTATGGAGTCATACAAAACCCAGAGTATATGATTGTTATGCAATATGCTAACAACGATAATCTTTTGTCTTATTTGGATCAAAATATTAAATTGACGTGGAAATTACAATGTCTAAATAATATTGCATGGTATCTGTATTATATTCATATTGCGGGATCATATATTAATATACGCGCTCTCAATCGGCGAATTCATGTGAACAAAATTCAACCATTCACCCTTTATTGCACCAGAAGTCTTTAATACTCGCAAATTTACTCAGAAATCAGACACATATTCTTTTGGTATTATTATGCCATGGCGAACCCGCTTAGAGGTACGACCATTGATGCCTGATACAGCACCGGAAGAATACAAGAAACTTGCCGAGCAATGTTGTCATACTGATCCTGATGAGCGTCCAGATGCACGGGGACCTATGACCATATCAAAGAGGTGCTAATTAATAATTATAACAGCAACATATGGAATCCCATCTATCACAGTAATGTAAAATCTTTATCACGTCTCGAAAAGGAGAGTAAATACTCTAGTAACCTCTTATCTACAGCGAACTGAAAAACGGTTATGATTTTGATTCAGCTGCAGGTATGACAACAATTGGCTACGTCTTTGATGTTAAAAAAAAATCAATTTACAATATTAACCTTGTCTATTGTCTTATAATTGTAGTGACTCAAAACAGTCTTACACGAGTTTTATGATAAGGGTTTGCCCGTTTTCCAATTAAATGCAACGATATACTCGACATGGGCCGATTAATAATATTCCAAAATAAAAATTGGTGCACGACAATGATGCGTCAAGGATAAAAAACAATTATTGAAGGTTAATGCAGGTGAAGCACGTACATTAAAACCAGGGAAATGTCTATCAGTACCAAGTGATATAACTACATTGAGAGAAAGTTTATTCCATGCTTAATGAGTTTAACTATGCATTAAGAGATTTTAATAAATAACTGGAAATAATATTTACATGGCTAGCATTGGCATTCTAACTTCGTGTTGAGAACAAGCAAGTTGTAGTTCTCGTAATTTAGTAGTAATGGCCAATAAATTAAATCTCGCAATTGACGCAGAACGTCACATTTTTATGCAAGTGTATGATTGATACATTCATAATCACCCGGTTACATGTTATTATTATCGCATCCGATTTGCATTTATAATTACAAAAGCTCTTTGCATCCGCTTTGTACATCAGTTTATCAATACAATTACCGTATACACGTAGTTCCAAAAAATAAGCACTTCTATAGTTAAAGGGGGTGTTTGTTTTCGGAACTATACGGTAATTGAAAATCTTAAAAACAAATGAGTACATCAAGTGCATTACTACATAATAAATAATGAAGCCATTGTCGAGGAAGTCATTGGCGGGGAGATAATTGTTGGAGAATAATCAGACCACCCTTGTTTGGTACGAATAAATACAGTCACCTCTTTTTTACTATTTTCGGAAGTATATGTCGTGTCGTGACTGTTGTACAAATCCCACAAAATATAAAAAACTCGCCCCAACTCAAAGAAACCTGCCAACTCAAAACCACGGCAGCTCAAAGACACCAACTCAAAGACACAAGACACACTTCTCTTCCGGATCTATTCTCTCTACAGACACAATGGGCAATATTCGATGTTGTAGAGTGTGTATATCTTTCGATCCAATCGAGTTGTCTCAACGATCAGCACTTATTTTCAGAAACACAAAAGACATTCAATAAGTTGGATAAAAAACAACGGAAAGCATATAACGAATGCCTCTCATGAGTTGAAAGTTCACTTTTAGAAGCAATCTTGACGGAAAAGAAAAAAAGGGGTATGCGTTGTATAGAGTTTGACGCTTTATTGTGACCAGACTTTCCACTAACATTGTATCAATGATTTCGTCAATATCTTTCTGCCATGAAAATAGCAATTTCATCGTCTTTATCATCACTATATATAGCGGTTGATGTCGGAAAAAGAGGGTTCTGGACAAACCAACTCTCCTCTGTCCTGGCTAATTGGAGATTTGAATATCGTACTCGAAGCGAGCGATACCAGTCACGTGTCTATGAAGAATCACAACTTTAGGATTGTATGACCATATGAAGAAGTGTCGCTTGGAATCAAGCGAAAAATACAAAAGATTCTCAAGGACGAAATCATAGAGCAATGACAGCATCCAATGACTCCATTAACAATAATGTATGCAACAACACTAAATTGCATCATGTATTTGTCCGAATAGCGACAAACCTACTAAGACTTTGTACGAGCGGTGTTGTTGTAATTATTATTAGGTATAATCGTATTATTGAGAACGTTGCTGGGATTTCATCGATAATCGTTCGTACAACTGATTAAGCTCCCGACGCTGTAAACTTGAATAAGTTCAGTATATGCCGAAAGCTAGAGATTACCAAAATGAATTTCTACCATTAGAGAGATCATAGTATAGTTATAGTGAACGCCAGTTGAATATTTCCAATCAATCGTTAGTTTATTAGTTGTTTATCGTATTTATTCGATCCTATAAGTATTATTCCAACGTAAAAGTTGTTCCATTATTCCGTTGGAGCCTTCGACCAAATCCTAAGGCAGAAACGATTAGAACTTTGGTTGTTTATATATCTAAATTGTTACTGCAGTATAGCTATTCTAATGTCTAAATGGTCTATACATAGCTATTGCTAAAATATTGATTTACGTCACTAAATTTACGTGCTTGTGTAATACATTTAAGTGATCTGACGTACTAATATTATTAATCGTAAATCGCTATTTAAATGCTATTATTAAATTCGTCGTATAACACCACCATAGGAGATGAGTGTAAGAAAAAAAATACCAAGTAAGTCTTGTTATAATACCAATCTTGGTGGACTGCTGTTTGCTAATACTGTATTAGCATATTTTCTTATTAAATACGTAGGACTTCAGTCTTACTCTAATTATCATAACTGTTATTACACTCGCCATCACTGGGATTAATATCGCGAGTAGACTATACATGAGGACAAATATTTGACTGGACTGTAATAGGCAGGTCAACAAATTAAGGTCATAATAATAAAGCTTAACCATCAAATTAGTATTTGGTCGTCAAAACCGCATTTACTGTCCTTGATTTAACGTCTAATATCAAATTCCAATAATTCATACAGTGCACAGTGTGTAACAAGAAGAATGTATTTTATCTTTGATTGTTTTACTATTATGTTCCAGAATTAATTTGTTTTTTAGCCATACAGTAGCTTCTTCCTGATATTTATGTGCCAATTGTATTACAGCATATACCATTACTTATTATTAAAATGCTTTATCAGAATGAGTGTTACACACAAAGAAACATAATAACAATAATGCAAAATATAATACAACATAGCTAGTCTACAAGTTGAACTAATGTTAATCATTTTCTCCATACAAATATCTTTCTCTTATTATAATAATCTTTAAGGCAATGCTGAGCATGAGTATTTCCTTGTTCAGCTGCTTTTTGGTACAGTTCAATTGCCTTCTTAACATCTTTTTTTACTCCAATTCCATTTTGATAGCAATAACCAAGACTATTTTGTGCTCTAGAATATCCTTGTTCAACTGCTTTTTGGTACAATTCAACTGCCTTGGTAGTATCTTTTTTTACACCAATTCCATTTTGATACCAATTACCAAGATTATTTTGTGCTCTAGCATATCCTTGTTCAGCAGATTTTTGGTACAGTTCAATTGCCATCTTAACATCTTTTTTTACTCCAATTCCTTTTTTATAGCAGTAGCCAAGATTATACTGTGCATCAGCACATCCTTGTTCAGCTGCTTTTTGGTATAATTCAACTGCCTTCATAACACCTTTTTTTACTTCAATTCCTTTTTGATAGCAATAACCAAGACCATTCTGTGCATCAGCACATCCTTGTTCAGCTGCTTTTTGGTATAATTCAACTGCCTTCATAACATCTTTGTCTACCCCAATTCCATGATAATAGCAGTAACCAAGATTATTCTGTGCATTAGCATATCCTTGTTCAGCTGCTTTTTGGTATAACTCAACTGCCTTGATAACATCCTTTTCTACCCCAATTCCATGATAATAGCAATTACCAAGCTGAGCCTGTGCTTTAACATATCCTTGTTCAGCTGGTTTTTGAAATAATTCAGTTGCCTTCCTGACATTTTTTTCTACTCCAATTCCATAATAATATAAAAGACCAAGATCAGTTTGTCCAAAAGCATTATTTCTTTCTGCAGACAATTCATACCAGTAGGCAGCTCGATTAAGATTCTTTATAACTGCTATTCCATATTCATAAAAAAGACCAAGTAACCAAAAGCATTGTCCACAATCAATGTGGTCCTTGAGTCTTTTAACAGGTGGATAACTTTGTTGATACCATCCATTATGTGCTAACCAGTTTTTGAGTGAGTTAACAATCTGTTCTTCAGGTATGCCTTTTGATAATTCTTCATGGTATTTACTAGACAATCCGTCAGAAAATGGATGGTTTGAAGCCGTAGCAAGTTGAGTTATCATGCTTAAACTATCAAAAATCTGCTCACAAGATGGTCTTTTCTCAGGCATATCATCCCAACATGCTGAATACAATGTGATGTATTCTTCAGGAGTTCCTGAAGCTGGAGCATCACGACTACCATTTAACCTGTAGACCACAATGTCATGGTAATTTTGGAGTCCACCACATGGTCTTTTCCCACCAGAGATTTCCCACAATACCACTCCAAAACTAAATATATCAGACTTTTTATCCCGCTTAGTAGAAATGTCATATAAGCATCTGGGATCAAGATATGGAAGAGTTCCTTGAACGTTTGAAACACTTTTTTGTTGTAATATAAGGTCTGACAAGCCAAAGTCTGTTATCTTCACTATGCCAGCATGAATCAATATGTTATGAGAAGACTAAAAAGTTGTAAATTGCTTGTTGAATATATAGTATTATAAAATCATTGTATTACACAACAGCATCAATAGTTACCAGATCTTGATGCAAAATATCAAGTTCATGAAGATATTGTAGTCCATTAATGATATTGATACCAAGTTTGCATCTCATAAGCCAGTCCAGTTCAACAGATGCGTCTGATAAATAACGTCTCAATGAACCGCCATCCGCATATTCGAAGACCATAACGTATTTCTTTTCCAGATCTTTTATTTAAATAGTGGAAGACTTTGTTATACTCATAGTTACGCTGCACCCTAAATCTACTAATGCTTACCCTGACTCACACCGAGGAATCGAATTATGTTAAGATGATCGTCAACCTTGCGATGAATCTTAAGCTGAAGTATAATTGTATAGATTTAAGTAAACACAATATCCAAATCTAAGATCGTCATCATGAATACCAACCTCTTTGACAAAGTTTTCGAACATCTCGTCATCATCATTTTTCGAAAAAAGAAGCTTGTATGCGACCGTTCTAGCAAGTGACTTTGCTTTCGCTTTGAAAACTACTCCGTATCCTCCACTGCCGATGCACACCGGGTCAATAAAGTCCGTGAAAGAATAAAACCGAATGTTACCGTCTTCAATATTCTTCTTTAACTATTCTTTTGAGGCCATGCCTGTTTCCGCTGTTGTAATAATTTCTAACGTCTTGCTTATTGTAACCAATGACAGTGATTTGTGGCCAAACAACAATGTCGTACACATTATATTGGCTATCTATTTCTTACTATAATATTCTACAAACCGAGAGTGTCTCTTCATCGTGCTGATTTTGCTAAAGTAACTAAGTATAATGAGTCTGATATGACTTCAAAGCATTTTTTAATAAGAACTAACGGTTTGCAATGTTAAATGTATGAGTATTATTATCTCCATCGGCAATTGATCGGTAAAATCTACGTATTTAGGGTTGAGGATCGACAAGCGATCCTGCAGACAAACAAGACCGACTCACGTAATTCTAAGAAAAATTTTACTCGGAATGAAGTGTATAATGCAATTCAGGCTACACTCGCTTGTGTGGTAAAAGATAAACGAACATGGATTCTTAAACACAGAAAACCGGATGGTAGATTATACTTCGGTATGGCACCTACTCTAGATTTCGGTAAAATAACTATTAATATAGCAGAACTTGGAGAACCAATAAAATTAATCTCTCTGATAGATCGTATATATGACAGCAAGGCGATTATTTATGATGATATCGATTTCTTACCATATCCACCTAATATCGAGCAACCAAAAAACGAATTCTTCAATCTTTTCTTAGGATTCAAGGCTAAACCAGCACCTCGAATTAATTACGATCTTGTGAACCCGATATAGAAAATATCTGGTGTGATGGGAATAAAGTTCTTTCTACATATGTTCTCAAATAATTAGCATTTTTAGTTCAGTATCCAGCAATAATTCCAGGAACAATTCTTGTTTTGCGTTCACCGCCACGATGTGGGAAAAATATTATTACTGATTTTATTCGAAAAAGTTTATTCGGTCCAGAGCTTGTATATTCAACGTCCGATTTAGGTAAAATTTTGGGAAAATTCAACAGTAGTATTCAAGGGCGTAAACTTATAATTATGAATGAAGCAGGAATGTTAAGTGGAGAATGGCATAAGTCAAACAATCACTTAAAATCTCTAATTACAGAAGATTACGTCTCAATTGAGCGTAAAGGTCTCAAAAATCAAAAATGTGGCCATTTTCCTGGATTTATAGTATTAAGTAATCACGACGCCCCAATTCGTGTTGAGCAAGGAGATGGTCGTATTGTATGTTTAGATGTTTCACCTCGATGTAAAGGTAATTTTAAATATTTTGGTCAGTTGGGAAAAATTCTCAACCATCCCCATACACCTGGATCTTTTATGAGCTATTTACTTGATCAAGACCTTTCGAATTGGAATCCACAAGAAAATATTCCTACCACTAAAATGAAAACAGAGACAATGCGAGAGCATCTCCCAAATCCCATCCGATTCATAATTGATCATATTTCGGTATGGTCAAAAGATCAAATTGAAAAACCAGGTTGTGTTATGTTATATCAGGAGTATCATACATGGTGTGAAGCTAATGGTGAAAAGCCATTCAGTAATAATAATTTTGGGGAAAAAATCCCACAAGTTAACATTAAACGAAAACGGGCGGGTAGTGGAAAGAGAGAGTGGCAGTATATCCTTGATCGATCTAAAATTGTGGCCAAGTTACGTGAATCGTTAGGTGATATTGAGGAATTTTCTGACACACCTCAACCTGAGATACTCGCTAACGCTTCCACAGATATCCGTATTTAACATACCTGAAGTTAAAACTCCCGAACCAGAAAAAAAGATACCTGAATTATCGACCACCGATCGCATCAAAAAAGGTAAGGATACGTTTCCCGCTCCACCCATTACTAATATGACCCAGGAACTCTTCGATTCAATAATAGGTCAACCAGAATATTCAGTTGCTTCATCATCAGTGTCTACCGATATATCTCTGCCCCCCGAGATCATACCTGTAGAACCTATCGACGATAAATCCAAACCAGTTTCTGAGATCATTAAACCAGCGAATGATAAAGTTGAACCATCTCCTATCAAATCAGTGGAAAATGAACCTGAGATTTCTCCCGACTTACCTGCAAATTATAAATCCGAACTCAGCAATAAAGAAGTCAACCCCCAATCGGAAACATACCCACCTGGATATATACCTCGAGTGGAAAGGGAAAAACGTCTCAGAGAATGGGCTATCGACCACGGTGAAAATCCAGATACATTCATGACGATAACTGAGAAAGATAGAGACTTATCGAGGATATACCGAGATAGAATGATGTCCGATGCAGAGATAATAGACTTTGCACGAGATCAAAACCTCGATCCAGAAGAATTGATGGACATGTCCAGACGCGAGCGGTTAATAAGTGAAGAGATATATCTCCGTGAATGGTGAGGATGAGGGTACATTACGATCATATGTCTATAACGACGAAGAATGGGTAAAAAATATAGCGATACTCCAAGAGAATGGTTATTTATGGTAAAGTACGCTTTCCAGTGTATGCAAGCCCATATACTATGAATAATAGGTAAAAAGTGTTAGATTAAATAGTTCTGGAATATTGCACCTGTCCGTCGCAAGACCTAACCGTCGTCGCAAGAAACCGGACTAGCCGTCGTCACAAGACACCGGGCTTAGGACAAGGTGCGAATGTAACAGTTGTCCGTTGCAAAACCTAACCTGTCATCGCAAGATGCAGGCTTAGGACGAACTGCCAATGCTCGCAAGAGCGTTCGAATTCGAAATAATATACTTATCTTTGCCATGACTACTGCGATTAGAGGTTGTGTAGCTTGTATTAACGACATCAGAGAAAATTTTTTTAGGTAGATTACACATTATGGTCATGGGGTTTAAAAGTCTAAGCCACCGATAGATTTCAACCACGTGATATTTAAGATTTCGTGTCGCGGTCTATTAACTGAATGGCGCTTTTTTCCACTGAAAATACAAATACAGAAGTTTGAAATTTTCACCATGAAAGACTTTATTGATCCATATTTTCTCACTACTCCTTTCGAACAGTGGAAACTTAGCTCTTTCATTGAAACGCGTTCTGGACCAGGTTTCGTAAAAAGTGACTGCCTATATTTCTACAAAGAAGGACTACAAAATATTTGCAAGTCATCGGAGTTTGACGACGAGCAGAAGATTATGGCGTTGAAGCTAATTGAAAAATATAAAGTGGACAAAAAAAAGTGTGCAGAATTGTTGAAAACTCATGAGAACCAAGTCACAGCCCGTTCGATTAGGTCGAATATCCTCGAGAACAGAGTAAGTATCTTGCACTATCCTAACAAATATTTTTTATTAAGATGTGCAGCTTATAAATATTTTAAAATCATATATAGCTTAAATTATTGGCTAACACCGCAAGGTCTGCAAATTCCACAATTTACACGACGTTTACCCAAGCTGATGTATCCGTTAGCGGACATAAAGTACAAGAAAACCAGATAACGACGGGCTATGATTTCTTAACAATTAATCCAAACCCTGAACCATCACAAGGAATTAAACGTGACCTTGATAATGAGGTAGATAAAGAGGAGTATGGCGCGGAACGAACAATTGTTGGTGGCAAAAGTACTGGTTGGGTAGTGAACGGGATTAACATCCGTCAAAGACTCACAGAGTACCAGAGAACAGGTCTTCAAAAAACGAGACCAGAATATTATGACGTAATACTGTTCACTGACGAAAATCAAGATGGGTTTTTGGAGACACTGGAGGAAAACGTCGTTGTACAGATGCGTAAGGAAATAGAGAGAAAAGATGAGAAAACTGAAGATAATATTGAAAAGAAAATAAAGTTATTTTTGAATAATATCATTACTCGCGACATAAAGAAAACTAAAGAAAATCTTAAATTACAAAAGAACGATACGTTCGAGGAGGATTTTGCAATATTTTTTGTGAACCACATGTGAGTCTATATTTTGCTCGATTTTCACTGATAAGTGCAATAAGACTAATTAACCATGGTTTATATAGGATCGAACTTATTGAAGACGTAAATTTACTTCTCAAGGATATGTCTGAAGGGACATTCATTGCAATGGTTCTGGCACCAATCCTTAATCGACTTTTCATAAAAAACAAGAAGGTTTGGTACGCAAAGTATGGGGAAACATGTCTTAGAGCGAACGCCGAAGAACAAAATTTCCAGAAAACAGATGATGAGCGACGCTCACCTGGCAAGAAGATCGATACTATTATCGCATTGAGAAATGATGAAGAAGAATTTTCTGTCACAGAAGTAAGCGGTCCCCCATCGAAAAAAGATTGGCCTCATTTTATCGGAGATCGGCTAAAAATAATTAAAATGTCAAAAACGTTGATGAATCGGTTTGCGAGACTTCGTCCAAACTCTGATATTAGAACAGTTATTCTGCATGGAATGCAAATATATTGTAAGTTTTGGACATTATTATCATTTATTATTGTATGTTGCTAACTCTTGGAGTTCATAGTATATCAAGTTATCCTATATGAATTTCGACTCAAGTACTCGGAAATATACACCATAAAAGAATTAATGAGATTTTCAATCCCGAAAACCTGGAAAGACATGAGGAATTCACACGAAGCTATAATCGGATTCTTAAAATATGAGGTTGTATAGGTTGCATCAGGGAAGAAATAGAATTTAGAACACAAGCACTAACATTTTTTATAAATTAGCATCTGTTATCTGAAAGTTCAAGTACAATAGAAGATTTTTTGTGGATAGAAGATAATAACAACGAAGATTTTCAGAGAATGACAACACGAACAGTTTATACTTCTAAATGTATGAAACGTGAGAAGAAAGCACGAATCACTTAATGTTTACGTCAAACAACTTCATATGCATGTCATGTAAAACGTATTATGCTTAATATTCTTATAGCCTAATAATTTACATATTTGTGTTTCTACATAATGATTTAGTTCAGAAAATAAATTCTCCAATTTCTGCTTTGCTCGATAATCTGATAAAATCACATGAGATTGTTTCCTTGAAATTTATCAGAAAATTATTACTCATATTTTTGAGCTGTCCGCAATTGGATGTAGAAATTGCTAGAAGAAATAAATGGGTATAAGTAAACTCCGTCATACATCATATATGGGATTTTTGTGACCCATAAAACAGGTTGATATAAAAAAAAGCTATTAATCTTCACGAAATAGCAGAAATAAAGTCTAAAGTACTAGCTTTTTTCTCTCATGTTCGAAAAATATATAATTGACTGGTTGAAGAATTTTATTAAGAAATTTGTGAGACATTACGTCTCAGAAAAATGCCAGAGCGAGCTCATTCTTCCAGAATAGAAAAAATTATTAGTTAAAGGTAATATATTGTTAACTATAATAATCTGACTTCGAGTGATAGAGTCACGAGAAGGCGGGATATATATATACATGTATGAATAAGTTATATAATTGATAAATAGATATAATAATTGAATAAATAGATAGATATGTATTGCTTTGTAGACACAATCTATATATTGTTAATTTGACGCATTTCTTCACGGACTACCCACAATAATTGATAATGTTGAGCGAGTTTTGTGGCTGTCAAACCATCAGGGCGATACATATATTCAAGCCATTTTTGAGCTATGATATTTACAGCTCTAATTTTTCTACCTACTTCTCTAGCACGCTGAACTTTTTTGATGGCATTGGATTCCCACAATTTATATCTGTGTAATGCATATTCTGTATCGTAATCATATCCTGAAATGGATTTTTTCTCGATTTTCAGTAAGTAGTCATCATAATTTACGTCACAAAAGCTATTTCCTGTACAATGGGTAGCCCAATGCTTTTCCATTCCTATGTGATTATAATTACCTATATTTTTGGTCCGTAGTCCGGTATATACTAATTGATCACATGAAAAGCAGATAGCAATTCCAATTTCAGGTAAATAGCTTTTCCAGAAACCATTAACTTCACTCCAATATCTTATTTCTTTTCTAGCTTCAGGATATTTTTTACTTTGTGAAGGCAAGCGATTATTTTCTCTAAAATATGTAAGACGTTCCCAAATTCGATTCATCCACTCACTGGGAGTTTATTATCTCGAACTTGAGATATTTCACAATATTCAGTCCATTCAGCATCGGTACAATTGGTTCCACGAATGTTTATGTTACTCATTTTTATAACTTATTTGTGGTGTTTTTAGAGATTATATGATTATATCAAATTTAAGGATTTAAACCTATTTGATTTACTAATAATAGCTTTTGGCAAAGGCTCTGAAATCAAATTTTTTTTTATCATCTAAACCTTTCAAGTAATCAGATAGGAGCAGCAGTTTTGGAAATTAAATTTTTTTCTTAAAATCTTTAAATCTTCAGAATAATAAGATAGGAAATACAGAAGCAATAGCTTTGGAAAAGGCTCTGGAATCAATTTCTTCTTTGACATCTCTAAATTTTCAGTAGAATAATCAGTTAGGAGATACAAGAGCAACAACTTGGCAAAGGCTTTGGAATCAAAGTTATTCTTAAGATGTGAATAGTGATAATTCACATTATTTATTAATTATTCATTTATGATTTATCTTTGTTCTGATCCAAAATGGAACTTGAACTGGGTCAACCCAATTTCGGAACCAGCACATGGTAATATCTGTCCCGTAAATTTATGCAGGAGAAGTTGTAGAAAAGCTGTTTGTTGCAAAGAGTGAAAACTACGAAAAACGATATTACGTCTGTTAATATTAATAACAGTAAAAAATAAACATCATGTATTATCTATTTATTAAAAATTGCTAACCAACCTATGTATTGAAACCTAACAATTGTTTGATTTGTCGTTTTTATATTGCTCAGCAACCCTCAAGTTTATTTGATACTTTCCAACTCACCACTGTATTGTTCTTCACAATTAATCGATGGTAGTTTATTGAAAATTTTGAGGATTAGTCAAGTAAAGCGTACTGAGACTTTAATTACATTATTTCGGACGAAAAGTTAGAAGATTGAATAGTCTAAAAATTAGTTGAGGCCATAGCGTTACGCATAGACTCGGTTTTGATAGAGTTTACAATTAAACATATTTTGCTGTAAAGATAATTGAACAATGTTCAGCTTGGTAAGTGGCCGTAGTGTAATTATTTTAGGCGGTGGTTGAGCCTTTGCATAGCATAGATTTTGTTGTCATTTGATGATAATGTCATTTATTATCAATACACATTAATATGCATTTATACTAAACAAATTGGATGGGTTTTTGTGTGACACGTTTAAGTTGTTGTATCTGTGATAAACACGTCTCTATTACTATATTGAGACTTTCCCATGCATGCTAATCGCAACACGTGCGAATAGGTTGTTGTCTGAACGTTTGGTAAGGTAATATTGAACATAACAATAAACACATAACATAAA